GTCATGAATGAGCACTATCCAGCAGACATGAAAAATAAAATTAGAGGATATCATGAACAATGTTATACCAATAAATTTTTTAAATGTAGGTAAAATCAAAAAATTAATTGAAAAACAAGTTATTAAAATGAATACCAGAAGAAATAGACAATATAAACAGTACTTTATTAAAGCAATTAAATTTTTAATAAAAATTTTCCCAAAGTTTAAATCTTCATGCCCAGATGTGTTCACCAATAAATTCTTTCTAATAGTAAAGTAAGAAATAACACCAGTGTACCACAAACTCATTCAGGGATTAAAAATATAGGGAACATCTCTCACCTTCTTTAATGAGACCAACATAAACTTGATGCTAACATTGACAAGGACATTACAAGAAAGAAAAATCATGGAACAATCTGTCCTATAAACAAAGATACCCACTCACGCACACAGAAACAAATCCTTAACAGAGTATTACAAAATTAATTCTGAGAATATGTAAGAGATAATTCATCATAGACAAATAGTGTTTAAATGCAAAGATGATTTGATATTTGAAAATCATTCAATGAAATTTAATACATTATAAAATAAAGAACCATGTGATCATGTTAGTAGATAAAGTAAAAAGCATTTGATAAAATTCAACACACATTCATAATAAAAATCCTAGCAAATTATGAATAAAACATGAGTTTCTTACTTTGATTTTTTTTTAAGTTATCTGCAAAAATACTGAGATAAAGAATGAGAAAAGAATGTCTGGTATCACAACTTTTATTCAGCATTGTACCAAAGATCCTATACAATGAAATAAGATAAGAAAGATAAGTAAAATGTGAAAGGAAGAAATAAGTTATCATTATTTGTATATGATATGACTTTTACAAAGAAAATCCCAAAATTAGTTTCAGATAGGAAGAATTAATAAGTAAATTTACCAAAGCCATTGAATACAGGCTTGATAAATTTCCTATGTTTATACTAGAAAAAAAATTTTTTAAAATAAAATTTTAAATGATTTTATTTATTCTAGCATCCCAAATCAATAAATCCCTAGAAATAAATCTAAATAAAAATGTGTAAGACCTCTACAAAGACATCTATAAAATATTACTAAAAGAATTAAAAGAAGACAAAAAAATAAGTGCTGGTATATACCGTATTTATGGAATAGAAGACTCCTGTAAAGGCTGTTTTGAAGAAGTTGACAAGATGATTCTAAAATGTATATGGGAACACAAAGGATTAAGAATAGTAAAGATGGTCTTGAATAAGGAGACAAAATTAGAAGATTACACTACCAGCTATCAAGACTTACTATAATGATAAAGGAAATAGAATAATGTGATATTAGCATAAATAAATCAGAATATAGAGACAGATACACAATACAGACATGTGTAAATCACCCGATTTACAACAGATGTCTGTTCCATTGCTCTTTTCAATAAATAGCACTGGATCAATTGGTATTTGTATGGAGGGAGAAAAAAGAAGCATCCTGAAACTTGACATCTTTCTCACGTTATGCATAAAATTAATACCAGATGGATCTAAGACGTATATTTGTAAGGAAAAACAACACAATTTCTGGATGATAACAGGAAATTATCTTTACGAC